CTAAAAACCACAGCAGGCTGTGTGTGTTGTTGAAATCCACAATGTGAATACCAAAACGGTGGTGGTAGGCTCGTGATGCCTTCCTGCAGCCATGAGACCAGCCAGTAGACCAGCGGCTGCCTGGTCAGATCCGAGTCTCAGCGACCATGTGTCGGAGTGGAATTGTGCTCCACAGGGTCTCCGGCGGCTGATTCTTCAGCAGATTACCAGGCTTTTCTCCAGAGGCGTCTCTGGCTGGACTAGAACCACCCATCTTCTGGTTAGCAGCTGTGCATGGTAGCTGTTTACATGACCAGGGACCCCAGCACCGTGAGAAACATGGCTTTGTCCTGGTGTGGTGGCCAGCTTAGCACTGGCACCAAGACGAGTGCCCCTCTGGCAGGTAGCTGGCATCCTCTTTGGTTTTGCCAGTTTGTTTTAGTTAACAAAATGCTTTGCCTATCATGTAACTCCCCACCCCCAGCCCAGGAAGATGCAGGTGCTGTCACAAGGTCTTCAGGCCCTGAGAGGGGTCCCTGACCTCTAGGAGCTTCTGAGCCAAGAGTCTAGTCAACAGAACCACGAAAAAACCAAAACCAAACTCACTATCTTTGAGTTGATTCTGACTCACAGTGAGCCCTCCTTGGGTATCTGAGGCGGTATTTCTACAGAAGCAGATTGCTCAGTCTTTACGCAGAGTGGCTGGTGGGTTTGAACCGCCAGCCTTCTGGTTAGCAGTCAAGGGCCTTAGGCACTCTGCCACCAGAGCTCTTTAACAGAGCCACAGTTGCTCCTCACTTCTCCTTTCACCGCTCCAGAAAAGCTACACAAACTCACCCTCCCACTCGGTGGAGGTAAAATCAGTAGGCGCACTCTGCCCCGGAAGAGCAGCACCTGAATTCCGGCTGGAGACGGTATGGGCGGTGCCCACTCCACCTGAGGGAACTCGGACAACCCAGACCCAGGCTGCCAATGGGGACATAACCTGCTCGGGGTGGTGCCGGACTTTTCTTCCTTTCATTCAAAGGCTCTAAAATCTTCCCTTAGC